GTTAACAAAAGATTTGGAGAATCTCTTTTCTACTTTTGTTTTTACATTTGGTGAACATCTCTTTCACAGAACATATCAAATAATGTGCTTTGGTGTAAAACACCACCTATTTCTATTCTGTATGGCGTTGTCAGAGTAGAACCCATCACATACCTGTGTACTGTAGGTACCGCTGCCATAATAGCAAACAAGAACCATTGTTCTAATTGGATTTACAACTCAAAAACTGACTGGTCATAAAATAAAGTATTATTCCATACAATGGCTATTTTATATTACACTAACTAACTTGGCCACATAAACAAATTCTGACAAAGAATGGCAGGAGTGTTTCATTTACGTCTCCTCTCATACATTTGCGCTGTGTTCCATTCAGAAGATCCTAGGAAGGAAACGAAACAACAACAAAGCAGAACACGTTAATTGAACATCATTAATAGATAATTAGTTCAGAGATAGACAGTGCAACGCTGTGAATATTTTGCTATATTCTGTACAGGCTGCATTGGGGCATACACCAGAAATTAAGAAGGATATTGCCAAATTGCAGAGTATTTAGAAGCAGGTGGCCAGGATAGTGAGGAGCTAGGAAACAAAGCCCTATGTGAAATGTTTGGAAAAACTGCATATGTTTAGCTTGGGAAAGGTCACAGAGTGACAAGATGGTGCTGCTCAAGTATCTGGAGGGCGCACATGCAGAAGATGCAATAGATTTTTTTACTGGAGGGCAGGGCAAAAAATGGGTGGAATTGTAGGAGAGCGAATTTCAGCTAAATGTTAGAGGAAACTTGTCAACAGTAAAAGCTATTTGACAGCAGGTGGTCTCTCCTTTGCTGAAGGCATTTATAAAGAGGCTGGACAGTCATCTGGTCAAGGAAGCTGAAATTGTACCCTATGTTGGAGATCCTCAACTGACAGATTAGTCCCTAAACTGTACCATTTCAGAATGAAAGAGATGGATAAAGACTGCATGTTTGAGTGCTTCCACATGTGAAATAAAACTTCCTGCACACGCCCTGGCTCACCCTTCCCCAACCTGCTTCCCCCCAGAGGAGTTGGAATCCAGTTCCCATAATCCTTAGCCAATATGGCCAGGAAAAGTTACTGTGCAACTCTATGCAAGTTTCCCGGTGTAATCCTATACATATTTCTGCATAGTGCAACCCTATGCATTTCTACTCAGAGGTAAGCCTCACTGACTTTGATGGGGCCTCCTCCTCATGTATACATACAGGATTTCAGGCTGGCATGCTGGCTTGTTTTGCAAATGGATTTTGTCTGTTTTAAACAAGATGGTCCTTTCAAATATATGACCCCCTGTCACAATCTGAATTGATGTGGCCTGTGAAAAGCCGCACACGCTCTTGCTCTCATCCAGCTAAGATTGCCTGTCCACCTTAGTCTAATTGAGGTTTCAGTGTGAAACATGCTGTGGCTTGGGGCTTTGCTGCGTCTGTCTCTGGTATCTCCCTGTAGTCTCAAACTGTGTCTTTCCAGTGTATTTATTCCCACTGTATTCATTTCCCAGTCCCAGGGTGATGTTGTAAGAACAGCTCAGTTTCCTTCAGGTCTGCTTTTCTGATGATTATCTCCTTTAAGAATTTAGTCGGCCAGAATTCTAAGAGAGAGAATAGGAACAGATGCTGTTAAAGGCAGAAATCTAGTAATCCTGCACCTGAACCTTTCCCATTGCCTTTCAACATTATGATGTCAATTTTAAGAATGACGTGTCTAAAGGCAGAAGCCATTGCAGTTAATTGTCCATTCCAGAAGGTTGTCACACTTTTACTTAAATGTGAATTGCCCTACTTACAATTTCACTGTGACTTAGGAGCCATATCTTAATAAAGGATTGTATATTTTGGAATGCTAAGCAAATTCAACCAGTAATTTATGTAAGTGTCATGATACTGCAATATTTTACTAACTATGCATCAAATGCATTAAACCATATAAAATATTATTATTATTATTATTATTATTATTATTATTATTATTATTATAACATTTCTATGCCGCCCCTTGCCGAAACCTCGGGGCAGCTTACAACACGATAAAATACCTTCAGGTTCTGAATGTTGGCTGAGATTTTTGTCAGTATAGACTACAGTAGTGCCATATTTCGCTGGTAAAGAGTAAGTTCTAGTGTATACAGGACAAAAGGCCTCACATTAAATTCCTGACATCTCCAGTTAAAAAGGGTTGTTCAGTAGGTGATTGTAAAGACCTCTGCCTGATAACCTGGCCTGAATATTAGCATTAGTTACTGTTGTCAGAGCAGACAAGCTACTTAGACAACCCTCAGATGCTGAGTGTGGATTGTTGTTAAAAAGTGGGTTATCATGTTTTCCGAATCTGTAAGAACTCAAGGTTTATTAACAGTGAACAACCAATGAAAAGAACCCATGGTTTGCTTTTGGACTGTGAACTGTGGGTTTTTCACCATGGTGTATTACCTTGGCTGGTTTCAGACAACATAAAAACCCATGTTTCAATAACAACCTATAAGTTAATGGCAGCTCACACTTAACTCTTGAGTAAACCAGTCAATAGTGGGTTATTTTAGCCACTTGGAATAAATTAGTTCTCTAGGAATGCTGTGAGTTTTTCTTTGCTTCACAGGAGTGAGTGGATATTCTGCCATCCCCCTTAGATGGAGCTGACTTAATTCTCATTGGGCCAGAGCTTTGGATTCAAGCTTATTTTACTGACAATGCTTTTCTGCACACCAGGACAAAATGATATTGAAATATCTCTAATAATAAAATATCTCCTGTAATAGCAAATGTAGTGAGTTGAGAAATGAGAGGACTAGAGTTCAAAAGAGAAACAGGGTGTTCAAATGTACCAAAAGAAGAAAGAAAAAAGAGAGGAGAGGAGAGGAGAGGAGAGGAGAGGAGAGGTCTCAAGGGACAGTTGCCCTGCAAAAAACAATGCAGTCCAGTGAGGACCCAGTATATTCAGTCACTTCTAGAAGCGATGAAATAATGAATGTTTAGAACATTAATTCTAAACACAGACAAAGTTTAGCTGTTTCTATTGTTCAAATGTACAAATTTTTGATGCACATGCTTGAGCATATGCAGGTTTAAATGTATCTTTCAGTGTGCAGCTCAGATTGAATTTTCAAAAATATATGGATTTCTGATTACAATTTTTTTGTGTTTATACACATTGAGGAACCCAGTGAATTGTTCCCCACTCCCTACTGAAAGCATCACTTTGCACAGGGAAATTGGAGCTAGGTTACAGTCCAGTTTACAGTTCCTGAAACAATCTCATTGAGTTTAAAAGAACTACTCTGAATCAATTGCAAATTTCAAGCTGTGTCAACACCACTTCAGCTTCAATGTTTGATTGAATGAAAATGTGGAAAAGAGTAAAAAAACCTCTTTGCAATCCACATTGATTGCATCACACAAAAGATGCAGTCCTGATTTTTCTGCACTTTAAACTTTGTAGAATGCATTTCCAACCACAAAAGACAGCATTCTACTTTCATTTCTACAGTCAGATCCATATCTCTTTTACTGTTGTTTTTTCAGTCCACTAGGCTCTGCAAATTTCATCCGTGTCAGATAGAAGCCAGCAATGAATGTGGCGGCAATGAATACTGAAAAGACTGAAACGAGAACTTAACATTTCAGGCTGGGATATTTCAGCTTGAGTGTGGTGCTATGTATCTATTGTTCATGATCACTTTAGGCAAGTAGCTAGAAATAATTCTATCCATTACAGCAATTCTGAAATAACAATAAGACTTAAAAACCATGCTTATTTGTGTTTCTTGTATTTTCAGACATAAGATCACAATAGGAAATGAATCTCAATTTAAGCTTGAATCTGTCAACTGGTATTCATGAGTATTTAATGGTTATTTCCCTCTAAGATAAATCCGTCACTCAATTGCACTTGATTCATAGCAATTGGTAAAACTAAATAGGATATAGACATAATATTACAGTTATGAATACTGCTGGGTTGAAAATAGAGTAATTGACAATTGTAATCTCAAAGAAGGCTTTACATGGCATCGTTAAATCATTGCAAATGGCATTAGGCAATTTGGTTGCCCAGTCCACTTAATGAAATAGCAGACAACCATCCTTTAAATCTTTTTGACAGTCTTTTGCAAACATTTAAGTCAATCCTATATTTTGCATTAACTGAACATTATCTCTTTTGGTCATACTAGCAGATATACCACATTTGAAATCTGTGAATTAAGACCAAATAAACCAGCAACATCAGAACACCAGCTTAAACGTGAGATTCAGTTGAACTGCACAGGTTTGTAACTGGTGGAGAAGCAGCTTCCTTGGGAAGCAAAAACAATGATTGTGCCCATGGGGGAAAAGGCAGAGGAATGGGAATGGGAGCGCCATGGTGGACGACAGGCATTCCATCCTTAGTGCCATTTTTGGATAGAAAAACTGGTCACAGAAAGAAAGGTAGAAAGGAAGGTATCACCTAAGCATGCCAAGAGAGAGAAAAAGGCTAGCTAGGCTAGGGCATTCTAGGTAATTCATTACCTAACTAAAATAAAAACACATTGGATGTTCTATGACTTTTTAGTACCTAAAGTAAAGGTGAGCAACTTGTAGATCAAAATAATTGGAGGGCCACAATTCCCTTCAGCCCCAGCCAGACTAGCCAATGGTGAAGGATGGTGAGAGCTGTAGGCCAAAGTGCTTGGAGAGCCACAAGTTGCCCAGCCTTGACCTCAAGGGTTATCATTCCTCTCTTTATACCAGGTGTGGAGAATGCGTACCTGCCCCAGTGCCATTGGGCTCTGTTTGCCATCACTTGCCACCATTGGCCACACTGGTTGGAGCTGATGCCAGTTGAACTCCCATAATATCTGGAGGACCATAGTTTTCCTACCCTGCCTTGCATTATGAGATGGATAAAGTACCAGAATACTAAAAAGTAAAAATAGTAGATGAAAGAGGCTGTGCTTTTTGTCTTGGTTGTTGTCTATACATACCAGAATTTAAAGATCATTTGCCCATAAGTCCAACAAATGACTCTGTTTTATGTCCTGAAAAATACATTTGAGGGTCTTTAAATACATTTGAAAATGCTTATTTTTGGTGGCAATGTGTTTTCTTGATGAACACACAATAGAAATAGACTCTTGAAACATATGAGCTCATGCCTGAATATCAAACCTTGCTAGGTTTTCATGCAAGCAAAGGGGAATTTGCCCACAAGCTCCGATCTCTGCCCTGATCAAATAATTGCCAAGATTCATGGATTTAATGATCAGTCATTCCTGAGCTACTAGCAAAAATTAAAATAAATATTTGGTCTCCAGCTGCCTTTTAATGAGAGAACATGTTTTTGTGAGCATCTTGCTAGGTCCTTCAACATTCCCTGGGGCTTCTAATTCCTTAGTTCTCAAGGTTGGTAGCTCATTTCCAAGCAGGGGTGCTGATACACACACATTGACTGGGTTCACACGACACAGCAAACAACCTTGCACAAATAAACAACCTCCAGGCAAATATCCAGTGTGTGGCTATTTGTCTGAACTGGCAGCTCAGATGATTACCTGGTAACCCAGGCAGTGAGGCTGCAGTGCTTCCTGTTCCATCCTCCCAACCTTTTCATGCATCTCAGCAGCTCCCATGAATGAAATCCCATTCTTGCCTATGGGCTGCAGCAGCCTCCTCGTGATTGGTCTGCTGTGGACATGAGGAATATTTCTTGGCCGCCCTTGCAAGGGGAGGCTATGGTGTTTCCATACCTATGATGGTAAAATGGCCATTCTGGATCTGGGTGACTGCAGAAGCCACAGTAAAGTATGGAACCTTAGAACAGACCATCGATTCTTCTTACCATTTTAGAAAACTAATTGTACCCTGCAGGAACTCCCAAGTCAACACAACAGACCCACAATAGTAAGATATATCCATGACTTATCATGTTCTGTGAACCTGATCATTGAGTTTCTCTACCCAAAGGAGTTTCTCCATTCACTTCAATAGATGAAACAGCTCCTCAGTTTAAATAAGCAGGAAATCTTGCAGAGTTAGTCATGGCTATACTTTTACCCCAAGTAGGAACTCTGAACTGGGGAGACATGTTTCCTGAAGCATCTACTAATTCTCTAAGCAAATAACCCACCTACAGAGTCCTTTCTCAGGATAATCAGATGAACATTATACTGTGCATATGATAAATGAAATTTAAAGAGCTGCACAAATTGTTTCTCCAATGGAACAGTGGGTTTGAGATAGAAAATGGGCATCCTTGGACAGCAAATCTTATGGAGAATATTGGACAGACATAGGCAAATATTTCTACACAGCTATCAGTAGTGGAATGCCATCTCCTCTTTTGCATCTGGCCAACAAGAAAGAACAGGATAGTCCTTTTCTGAGAAGAAAAACAAACTGTATATTTCTGCAGGCCCTCCGTCCAAGCTAGAAACCTCCTCCTTCACTTCCTCCTCTCCACTCTGCCATGCAGAAAGTAGTCTCAGGGCCCAAACAATGGCAATAGCTCATCTTTGCACAAAAACAACGTGATTGCATCACAGGGGATTCTTTTGTGCAGAGCCTGGGGAAACAGCAGCAGCAACTTTGCCTGTTCCCCTTTCCTACTCTCTAGCCAGTCTGTACTCTTCCTTTTTCTTCCAGGTTGACATACACACTGGCTCTTGAGGCTTTGCTACCACAAGCTCAGCATGTCAGACGACAGTCTTTGTGTTGCATCATGCTGTCCTTGATGTGAAGTGGCCCTCTTGAACATGGCTTGGACAATTAACAGCTGTCCAAGAAAACATCCCTTCCATAACCTGCAGTATTCCTACAGCCGTTATTTCCATCCAGCAGGCAGGAATGCTGATAGATGAAGTCCAAAACATACAGAGGGTACCAGTTTGGGAAGGATCACCCTAGAACAGGATGGGTGACTTCTGGTCCTCCAGATGTTTTGTCCGACAATCCCCATCAGCCCCAGCCAGCAGAGCCAATAGTGAGGAATGATGGCAGTTGTAGAACAAAATACTTGGAGGGCCACAGGTTGCCCACTGCCACATCCTAGGGCGTCCTCTTCGTGGCAGGTGATCTGGTGTCAGCACCAGAAAGAGCAACTGCAGTAGTCCTCTTTTCCTCTGATCATGAGGAAAAGAGCCCATAACTATGTCAATAGTTAGCAAAAGTTTTAATATTGATGCTCTGCATCTTGGATCCTGAAAATCATCCAGGCAGGAATTCAGCAAAGTCCATGCAACCTGTCAACAGATTTAGTAAAAAGACGTCAAAAGTCTCTGTTGACCAGACTTTGAGAAAGCACTGCTATTTTCTTAAGTAGTTTTGGTTTGAGCAACCCCTGCAAATCCCTGTTTGGAGAGAATTTTCCCTAGCTATTAAAACTACTGATCAATACAAAATAAATGTCAAAGCTTTCAAAATCCAGACCTCTGTGTATAATATGAAAGTTTTCTCTTCAGAATAGATATACGGTCAGTCAGCAGGCCATAATTTTGCTAGCAGCCAATAAATGCAGCTGAAAGCCTTAAATGAAGGCATTTAAATTATAACTGAGATATTTGATCTTAGGTATTAAATATAGCTGTTGGCTCAGAATTCCAAAAGTCTTATTAATCTTTGGAAAAATACAACATAATACAGAGCACCCCTAAAAGCAAAAACTAGCAACACCAGTCCTATTGAAATCCAAACTTTTAGATTTGCTTCATGCACTTTCAGGGAAGATATTGAAAAGGGTTGAAAGAAGACTGATTCAGAATAGATGCGCTGAAATCAATGAGAATTAAGTTAGTCCTGACTTGTGTGCTGCATTGATTTTGATAGGTTGGATCTAGGTTTTGGCATGGTCCAAAATTCCTTCTGCGTGCAGTGGAGGTGGACATGCCCCTGGCAGCTTCTCTAGCTCCCCTGACATGATATGCAGAAGGCGAGAGCCCCCTGCCCAATGGGGTAGTGCAGAAAGGAAGACGCAAAATTGGGCAGAGACACCTTCTGTAAGTGGAGATTCAGTTATGGAAAGTACTTTCACAGAATTTTTACAGAGCCCCTTTCCCTTTCAGATCCTGCATAGTAACCCACTGTGTTCGGCAGGAATACCTTGACCTTCCTCATAGCATTTTCCACCATGGGGAGGATGGTGTGGAGAAGTCCACTTTCACCAGGATCCAACCCAATGGGTCTGCTCAGAGAATGACTATTTCTGGATCCATCCTAGTTAGTTTATTAAGTCTCTACTGATATGCCTCTCTGGAGAAATGCAATCTGCAACTGACAGAAGACTTCAGCTATTGGGCATGATATAAATGCAATAAGCAAAAACTTGTCACTGGGCTGGCTTATATAACTTCTTGTGTATATAATGTGGTAGCCTGCAGACGCATGCAAGTATGATTACTAGTTCAAGCTAGGGTTGGATTTAAGTTTAGGGTGCAATCCTATGAATGCTTACTTGGAAGTAAGTCCCCCTGATCGCAGTGGGACTTATTCCTGAGTAGACTTGTGTTTTCATGGGTTGATCATAATTTGTACTTGGTGCAATTTGTATTTAAGCTGTTTGCAAAATAACCATATGAAATGGTTAAATATAAAAATAATATTAACTGAAGCAGTAATATTAAAAACATTCCAAATCAAAAAGTAAACAATACCGATGACAGTCAATGCATTAAAATATGGAATATAGACCAGCACCAATTAAAGGTATGTGGAAGCATTTAGACCTTTAAGGCCTTGAAAATAGCCAAGGAGGAAACCAGAAGAATGGGGTTGCCATCTAAAAGGGCCTGTCTCTCATCTGGTCTTTTTGTGAGCCGAAAAGCTGTTCATAGTAGCAGCAAGGGAGAGCATTCCTTGCAAGTTTACTTAGAAGTAATTCCCACTGTATCCCAAGGAGTTTACCCCTTGATAAGTGCTCATGGATTATAGTCTTAAGCTATACTGGGACCACTGTGTGTGGAAATCATACAGTGTTAGACAATGTTCTTTGTGGATTATTCCTTTGCAGTAACATGGATTTCCCAACACAGGCAAGGACTGGGCAGTTCTTTATAAAGCAGAACCCTTGATTACACATCAGAAATTCCATATGGAGTTGATGGTTTGGGACATATGTTTCTAGAATTGCAATCCTGGATAAAAGTTGCATTGAAATTAGTGAATAATCATGCACAGGAACATTAGGGGAAAATAGCTTATTTCCAATAAAATCTATTTCAACTCACTTTTATGGGAGAGAGGGCCATATCCTGGAAAACAGTAAAAAGAAATAATGAGCTGAACTAATGCTAAAATATTAGATATGTTATTTTATTACCATTTTAAAGAAAAGAGCAAATAGATTCAGTGACAGTACACTACCATTAAATGGCAATTAAGGCACTAATTATTTTCTGCATTATTCATGGCTATGAAACACTTTACCATACAGACACAATCCACTTGGAATATTTCCTGTACAAGCACCATTAAAAATAAATGCTTTATTACTTTCCCTCTCCCTTCAGCCACTGTGCACTTCTGCAAGAGCCATTCTTGGTGTTGTATATGCCTGTAGCATGAAATGGGTTGTGTTACCTCCTAGTTTCGAAAAAAGTGGTTTAGCAGTTTTGATGAGGATCTAGACTGGAGTGCAGTGAACTGTGGTCCAGCTGTTATTGGATTCTACTTCACATAAGCCACAGAATATGCAGCTGATGGTAAAACATGATGGCCGTTATAGTCCAATGACATTTGGAGAATGACCCTGATCTAGTAGTAACGTTACACTTACCTTGATATTATGCTCAGTAGACCTATCATGCTTAGTAAGGTGATATTAACAAATAGATGTGCATCCTACATTATGTAATTCTGCTTTTAACTGATTTGTGCATAGAAAAGCCGTGAATATCCATTCATTACATGGAACCAGCATGGTATAGTGGTGAGAGTGCTGGACTGGGACTCAGGAGATCCAGGTTCTATTCCCCTCTTGGCCATGAAGTTCACTAGGTGACTTTGGGCCAGTGGCCACTGATGCTCAGCCTGACCTGCTCCACAAGGATGTTGTGGAGGATAAAATAAGGAGAAGGAAGATGTAAACCACCTGGGATTCTTTCTAAGGGGAGAAAGGTGAGATGGGAGTGAAATAAGTAAATAAAAGCAAACCATAAACCACATCTTTTCCCTTGGAGGGAGAAAAGGCACTTGGGGGAAGAAGCTTTTCTAATTTTCAGTGGAATAATGGCATGAAAGGACATGGTAAAGTATTCTGTCTCCTCCACACATTGGCCTTCAACTTCATATTGCAGCTGGGAAAGCTGTGCTGTATATTACGAAAAACAAAACAAAATACCTAAATGTGCAATCATATGCAAGTTTTAAAAGAAAAAAAATGTCTATGTCTGGCTTGGACATGCTGATTTTTCCAGCCTAAAGATGCATAGGATTGTACTCTAAGAAAAGAATAGAAGTACAGATAATGCAGCCTTTGCTAACCAAATGGCTTACAGAGTGCTTGTACTCCCATCATCCCCAGTAAGCAAGGCCATGAATGCTCTACCTGGAGGGAAGGTTGAGGTGATGTGTCAATCATCCCACAGTTTAAAAGCAGTTGGAGGCATGCAGTGAATGGGATTCCCATGCCAAAACAAGAGTCCAGTTCTGTGTATCATGGCCAGTCAAATAATATTTTTTAAAAATGTCTTTTGTACACCTGTTGCTATTTTCACCTGCAGCGGTCTGGTGCCAGATTTCCTGTTCAACATAAATAAGATGTTGCATCAGGATAGCCTTTTAAATTCTTAGGATTCCAAGCTCAATGAATTACCAATGGAATCCAATGCATGCCTACTCAGAAGGAAGAATCATGGTGCATAATGGGCATCTAGATGAGCATGGATGGACTGGATTATTGCTTTGCTGCTGGTTTATTGTTTTATTGGTTATTGTTTTTGGTCTTATTGTGCTTACTTTCCTCCTGTTTCCTATTTAGATAGTTATATTTACATTGTATTTTAATTTTATTTTGTTTTATGGTTTGTTTGTTATTTATTTTTATCTGTATTTTAAATATATCGCACTATGAGCTACCCAGAGACCCTTTGGCTATGGGGTGGCATACAAATGTGATAAATAAAATAAATAAAATAAAATAAATGGTTGGGATTGCAGTGTTATCTAAACCTGTGTCCTAACTGGTAGAACATTTCTTCCAAGTCAATGTTACTGAAAAGCTGGCTAATTTAGAACCAAATTGTGACTGATTAAGATGAAATACATGGAAATGAATCAAAAACATGTATCAAGGGTTTGAGTGGAACATTTATAAATAGCCATATTTCAAAGAAACCCCATTGCACACGTTAGATATGCTTACGATGGTGCACACATTTATAACCTTCCTCTTTTTCTCTTTCAAGATACCCAACATGGCTGACTTGAGCCTCCTCCTTTTCATCTTGTCCTCACAACAGCCTCGCCATGATCCCGTGGGGTCATCTGGCCTAAATCAACCAGGAAACCTCACGGCCAAGTGGGGACTAAAACCCAGGTTGGTGGAGTTCCAGCCCAACAGTTTTACCGTGACATCACTCTGGCTGTCTGACAGACTAGGTTTCTCCTTTCATTCAAGTTTCCCTTCCATGGTGAATAGCCAATGTGTCTCTGCCCAGTTCCAGTTGGGCTCCCAGAGGGGGCAAAGGGATTTAAAAAAACCCTCTTCCACAGTACAGTCCCAATCTGAATATTTCAATCCCCACAGTAGCAAAAAGATCAGTGATAACAAGGTCGAATTACATGAGAGACATTTCTAGTTCGGCTCTCAGTGCCTGTTAAAGTGAGAAGAAAAAACCTGGGAACCCATCATTTTCACTGCTCTTTTAATATGGCTCTTGGGTGACACATAATAAATGTTAAATACTACAAATTGAAATGCAATTTTAAAATAGATCCATTTCAAAATAAATTGGAGTTAAGTAGCTCCTAGCTTTAGTTGAGTCAATCCTGCATATCAAATCAGCCAAGAGAAATTTGAAAAGGGGTCTCACCAGCATCCCGTTTGCCCATCAAGCCATAGAACTGTTGAGGTCTTGGTCGCCTGGCAATTCTCTGGAGAAAATGCTCGAAGGGTAAGGCCAATGGCTCCTGAAACATAAACATCTTATGATTAGCTTATGCTACCAACAACAATATGAAACCGAGCGAACAAAAAGGGCACTCAATCCATGGGTGTCCCAAAGCACCTAGCTTTTTTTGGGGGGGGGGGGGCTGCTTTCCAAAATCTTTAAGGAAAGGGACATGTTAGGAAGAGCGGCTTCTACCCTTCCATTTCTACTGTCCTCAGCAGAGAGACTGGGAGGCAGTGAAGGAGGAGATATGATTTCTACCCCATCCCTACCCCAAAGGAGAGTGTCTTTTCCTCCAATCCAAATCATGAAATGAAAAAGAATTCAGATGGAACTCTCCATCCAGTCTGGGATCCAAAGCCCCTGTTCTGCCACAAGGAGGCCACTGGGGGGCAGTGGAAATCCAGGATCAGAAAGTCTCCACCACAAGGCAGCCAAACGCAGCCAGACTGCACCTTAGAGAGGAGACCTGTGACTGGGCCCTTGAAGGTATCTAAAACAAATTTAAAACAGGTGGAGAGGGGCTTATGAATTTGATCAGAGCAGAAGCTCTGGGGGAATCAAGGTCTGTCTCTCTTCCATAGTCATTTCCCTAATCTAGATGAAGCTGGTGTTAGCACTGTGGAGAAAAATGTGCAGGTACAAATGTGCAAGAGTTGTTCTGCAGAACCGGCCAAATTCCATGCTTGTTTGTCAGGTTGTAAATCTGTGTATGGCTTGATTTTGTTAATGTAGCTCAGGAGAAAGACAGACGGACAGAGTGTCCTCAGCGATCATCCAGTACAGGGTGGGAAGAGTGGCAGAAGGCATCTTTGCCTGCCTGTCTTCCTGCCCTGCACTGTTTGCTAATGGGCTTTTTTGTCTGCAAGTAACTGTTTCAGAAGAGGAGGGAGGCAGGCTGGACCCTCTCAAGTTTCCTCCCCACCAGACACTTGCTTTCCTCCCTCACCAAGGCCGCTTTTCCAACCTTGGAGAGGCACTTGTGCAGTTCTTCTGTAATGTCTACAGTGAGATGGGGAGGGTGGTTGGATCTTCCGCTCCCCTCTGGAGGTCAGAGCATTGTCCCCAACCTTGGAGGGGAGTATTCCTGTTATCCTGTAGTTGTCTAGAGGCTAAAGGATTGTTCCCTTAAATAACTTTTGTAAGACCCTTGCTGAACTTCAAATTTTACAACAGTCATTGCTTGGCTGTTCATGGCAAAACCAAACAACCATGGATTTGTGTTCGCATTTGTTCACTGAATGCAGGAAAGAAATTAAGGGGGCTTCTGGGCATGTTGGACTATATATATACTTGGCTTGGCTTCTCATCCCTCTGTCAGTTGTCACTTGATGCCTATTGGCCAGCTTTGTGAAGGATTTACACTGAGCTCAATTCTGTGGTATGGAAACTGTTCATTTAGGTCCATGATGCCTAGTCGAGTCGTCACTGGATGCTGTGATGAGAAACATACTTGATGGACATGTGAAGGAAGTCTCATTGGTCCATGGCTGGGGTGGAACTGAAAGTCCAAGGTCAAACTGAAAGGTCACAAAATGGTTTTTGAGTTTTCCAGAGCTCTTTTTCAGGCTGGATGTTCAACAGAGCATGGGGGATGAGCAGAAAAAAATACCATTATGGGATTGAAGTCGGGGAATCTAGTCACTGTTCAGCCACATTCTTAGGGTAGAACACGGGAACAACCTGGTAGTCGGTCTTCTTTGTTAGGTGAGGCTATTATATTTCTGGAAGAGGCATTGGAGGCAAGGCGCCAGCTCCCCCCACCACACACACATTCATGGGTGGAGTGTTTTGGGTATAGATGAAGTTCATCTACTGGATTGTTGCTCCCATTTTCTGAGAGCTCCCCAGGAATGTTAGATGCAAACGCTGATAGCTACAGTCTTCTCCAGCTTCTAGCATTATGACTCTTCATGAATTGAACTGTTTTGGTATGACATGGAGCTTAGTGAGCTCCTAAGTTTGGCTTTGGTGCTGGGTTAAGTATCTCAGTTTTAAGTTCTCCTCAAAAAACAAACCTGCCCATAACAGAAATTTAGGCAAGGGAAGAGAGAAAATAAACAGTTTAGGATGGGCTGTTGACTCCTCCTTTGGGGGTCCCTCCTTTGATTCTTGTTCTTGACCTTTAGATTTTCCATTCTCTTGAACAATCAAGGGAAAACTTTAACTGGGTTGCTAAGTAGAGGATTAACTGATTAAAAATCAATCATGGGAATGTTTGTTACTGATTGCTAGGTTCAGTTTTCTGCCCACACCCTCTGGAAAGGCCTCATGCTGTTTCACACATTGGTAAAAGCAGCAATTTGGCCTGAGGCACAGCCTAGGAGGCCAGCTAGTTAGCCAGTTCTGGTGTGCATAGCACCATTTTTGTTCCTCTAGGGCAGTTTTCATAGTTTGCCATCAAGCACTCAGAAAAGAGAAGGGAAGGGAAGGGGAAAACACAAAAACCAAATAGCCACGATGATTGTAAATCTGATGAGTGCTTTAAAAGAGCCAAGGATAACTTAAAGTAGATTTTTTAGAGCACATTTAACTCTTTTGTAGTAAGCACCCAATCTTGCTCTACTTATAATAGCAACTGCAAAATGAACAAACTCATACTCCAGCAAACAAGCATGCTTCTTTATTGCTAACTGGGTAGACAACACAACTGAAAAGGAGAACAAAGGAAAGGAGTGCAGTCTAATTCTAAATTAATTCTAATATTTCATTCTTCAAGGGCTGTGCTTCTGTACAAGCTCATTTTTCAGGATCATGAAAAATCCATCCTTGGATAGGGAAGGGAGGAAGCAGACTTTGGAGGACTCTGCCAGATGAAGCTTTTGTTGTGCACTCACCCTGCCTTATTCACTGAATTTTTCTGTGGGTCCAATTTTTAAATCACTCCTGAATTTAGAACAAGTTAAGATTCTTTACATGGAAGCCATCATTGTTTGGTTTGCCACTGTGTGTACAGAGTACTAGAATAGGTGGACCTTTGGTCTGATCCAACATGCCTTTTCTTATGTTGTTGCAAATTAAAATAACAACTTTTGTACACCCATTTGCCCCACCCTGGTTAAAAGGCCATGTGGAACAAGATACCAGGTCCAAACAGACTGAGTTTTCCTATGTACAATGCAGGTTTTAAATTTTCCCTGGGATTGCTAGGACAAAGAAGTAAGCAATCATAGATTCCACATCTTTGAAAATATACAAACTGGCTATTATATGGATCTGCATGAACACATTCTAAGTTTCTTAAATCTGACAGTACATTGGCTAGACTTCCAGATAGACTGCTCCAAACACTATCAGATGACATGCTGTTTTACTGGCTCTCCCTCCTTAACAGTTTTTTTTAATGGAAAGAAAAAAGATGGGAGTAGAAGGAGGGGGGAATATTGGGAGGATTACAATGAGCTCTTCTATACAAAACTGTATCAACTTTCCATTTCATCCTATAACTGGGATCTGAACTCAATGCAAAAAAGGTTTTGCTTTCCTGTTTTTCTGCCATAGAACTTCTAGGTGGCATTGTGGTGTAGTGAAATAGCACAAACACACACATAAGAAATAAGTGTTCTTTCACTTTTCAAATAATTCTGGCCTAATGGCCTATTGTTAAAAATCCTGTGAATTTGGACTTTGAATGCAACATTTTTATCCATGAGGTTCTGGCTTTCTAAGGCCTTGAGGGAAGTGTCTTCACTTCTTTCTGCAATGCAACCGATGTAGCCTGGTGCTTGGAAGGGTGGAGCAGGACTGAGTAGACCCAGCTGAAAATCATTGCTTAGCCATTAAATTCTCATTGGGTAGCTAAGGGCCAGTCACTATTTCTTAATTTAATCTACCTCACAGGGTTGTTGTGATGATTGAATGGAAGGGGCAAAGCACATATGCCTCCCTGAAGGAAAGGCAGAATAAGAACATGATAATACACCTGTCCTTCTGATCACTATAAAACAATGAAGAATTTGCGGACTATGGGTGGCATCCAGCATCTGCCTTCTGCAGGGAAAAAAAGTCTTCGATAAGAGGAAGGGCTCCGCTTCAGGAAGGTCCCTCTGCCTGATTTGGGGCGGGGGGGGGAATCTCCCTGTCTCCTGCATCACAGTTTAGCCCATCTAGTGGGGTCTCCTGATTCTCTGAGACACATTTTTAGAGGGCAGGAGGAGCTACCATTGGAAAGGTCAAGAGGCCAAGGAAGTTCTACCCAGAGTCCAGAGCTTTCCCTCATCATTCCTTAAAATCTGTCCAACATCTGCTACTAATGAATGGGCACCCCAACAGTTAAACACCAACATAATTGTATTCGAGGCTGAAAAGTGACATATGGTTTGACTGCTTTTTTAAATCCTGCTTGCCTAGTTGCCAGTGCCTTCATGGCTGTGAAGTCCAAGGCTCCTGTCCCATCAGCAGAAGGTGCCCTCTTTCCCTCTCAGTCCTCAAGGAACTAAAGTAAGGGAACCATCCCATTTCCTCCTTCAAAACATATAAATGATCTGCTGATACAAGTCCAGATCCATCCTATTTTGATTCGCAGGATAAGGAACCCTGGAGTAGAGCTCATTGCAGACAAACCTAGTTTCTTTCTCTCAAATAAGTTCTGAAACAAAAGTTGAATTTACTTTCAAGACCTGAGATTGAAGAAATCTCCATTTTACTGAATAGCTAACAAGCCTCTGGAGACAAATGCCTTTGAGTGAAAATAGAGCTGTGCAGAACATTCTCAGAAGTCTTGCATTTTGCTGAGAAAATATTAAAGAACTCTCACCACCTTAGAAAAAGAAAGCCCGCTTGCAGAATTTCTTTGAATATTCTGCACCATTACTGGTTGGTAGCAGGTGCTTTTCCCTCCCTACCATTGACAATCAGGCTACATTTGCAGCACTGCGGAGGATGCAAAACCAGGGTGAGAAAGAAGCTTCTATTGCTTTTTTCATGGTGTACTCCATCCTGCAAGACAGAAAATGTTTCCTTCCCCTGGATAAATTGTATGAAATGGTCACTGTTGAGTGAACTCTGGCCACACACTGAGTGGGGAATTTTGAGAGACCTCCTTTGCACAGGTGTAGAACACAGATGACTATTTTCCGTTTGGGCTTTTGCCTATATTCATCTTTACTGAAAGTAGAAATATGGAATTTATGCCTTATTCTCTCACAATTTCTGTGTGTCTCTGATTTGGCTAGGGGAAGCAAAGGAAGGCACTTCATGGAGTGCAAAGATTGCATCACTTCTGCAATCTCAGTTGGACAGAAATACATATGTGGCTTCCCTGCTCCATTATAAAGGGTTTTCAGATGTAGGCGGCAGAAATGGTTGTGTGGGAAGACAGATGCAAGTGGGAAGACAGATACAAGAAGACCCAGGGCTGGGAAGAATTGGGAGAATAGAAATCAATACTATCATTAGATAGAAAACAATAAAGAATGCATGCTCTAGCATCAGAGCCCCGCAGCTCTGGAGATGAAACATGCCTGCATCTCCTTGGCAGGGAAATCGTGAATCAAAGGAAGCTATATGGAGAGGATAACAAGTCTCTGTAGCAAATGATACTTTTGTTTATCATTCCATAGTATCTTTGTTAATCTTTGCTCTTTAGCTTGAGAGTTTACATACTAAACATATGTATCCTACCATAGCTCTCCCCAAAAGCATATTGATTGCATTTTACAGAAAATATCTGTAGCTCAGGCCCAGTAGAAATCCTCCCCAGGTGTGGATTGTGCATCCCAGTGCAACGCTTCCATACATCTTTCCTATCAGAATCAGTCTCAAGATGGAAAGCGTTACATCGCTACTGCTCAGTGAGAGGACATGGCAGCTGCAGATTCCATTACACTGGGTTGCATTCCACATGGCATCCATGGCACTGGTGTCCATTTTGCACATTACATCTTAGCAACAACAAAGGGGTTTTTTTTTAAAAAATGTACACTTGTTTTAAAGGACACATAGGATACGTGATCCATGAGAAGGCTAGATGGGCTGATCTCTGTAGTCCTTCTTCCCATACGCTTGGATGCTTAGACACGTGGATAGTAATGACGCAAGTAAGTCATAACTTACATAAGTAGCATTGATTTAAATGGGTCTACTCTAAGTGCAGTTAAGTCTAGCTCCTACTGATAGGAGAAAATGGAGAGGAAGAGAACTATGTAAACACCTTAGTTTACATAGAGAAAAAAGATAATAAATTATAATAGCTGTAGTCTTAATAATAAATTTAGGTAACTCATTCCCATTGTGGCACCCACCATGACAATGTTTAACATCCACCAGCCCCAACCAGCAAGACTATTGGCTATTGGGGATGATGGGAGATGGAATTATTATTATTATTATTAACACATTTGGAGAGTGCACCTTGGGGAAGGTGGGTGCAGATTCTGCCATCTGTGCAAATCCCCGCAGTGTGTGGAGCAGGGCTCATGCAGCAGAAAGAAGTGGCTTCCATCCCTTCGTGCTTTCTGCAGTCTGCCTGGTGCACAGGTGGGATTCAAATCTATGCAAAGTACACTCGTTTCAAGGCAAAGCTTTCCCTTCCTGCTGATGTGACCTTTGATTGCTTGTTTTCTCCTGATTTTTAGTTTATATCCAGAATGGAGAAGGGGGGACAAGTTAGATGAGACCAGGATGAAAACTTCCCTTTTATTACAGCCTTTTTAAAACAGCCTCGTCCAACTTGGTGCCAGATGTGCTGGACAACCCTGCATCTCTACCATTCCCAAACAGCATGGACTTTGGGAGGATGGGAATTGTAGTACAACACATCTAGAGAAGACCAGGGTGGCGAAAGTTGATGTAAATTGCAGCCATAGGGATTTCAATTGGGACTATAGCCCTGGGGAAGGGAAACAATTTTCCAGATAAAATCCCTTCCAAGCTAGTATTTGCCCAGTTAGAGAAAATTTGAATGTATGGACAAAGTAGGGATAGACGAATGTCTTGCTATAAATCCCACTCACTTGGTTTACATTCAGGATTAAGATCAAGGTTTGTTAGCAGCAAAAGATTAGCAGTCACAGGCAGCATCAAAGTACAAAGAGAATGATGCTTCAGGGTATCAGCTAGCAAGGTAGTTGCCCCTGAGCTTGGGAAGGGTAAGAATTTTGTTTTAAATGAATCTATATATTAAAGTATTTATATCCTTCCCTCCCCCCCCCCAAAAAAGTTTTGCCTCCATGCTGTGTCTGGTATGATTCCCACTGGCAATCGGTCCCTATTCTTCATCCCATTATAAATTTGCAATATACTTCAAGTGCATCTTTGCCGAGGGCATGCGGAGGGACAGCCATGCACCTGTGTGTTGCTAGAGAGGGAAGCTGACTTGACACTGTCAGCTCATCATCCATAATGGCTGAGCATCTGACATAGCAAGAAGCAGCAGGGAAAATGACAGTGGAGTTGTAATAAGGAAGCAGAGAGGAATCCTCTGAACCTGAAACTGGCAACATGTTGAGGCAATTGATTAGGGGTGGAGAATGCGGCTTCCTGAACACTTTTGCTACCTTAGCACAAAGGTGGAAGGGGAATCAGGACATCCATCATGTGGATTTGCTCCTTGTTCTTATTTAATGGAGTTAATGAGTTTTACAGATGTTCCCTACCTTTTGACATAAGAACAGCTCAAGGTGTGATCTAACTCTGGTATGCACACGGCTGGTGTTAAGTCAGATGAAGAGGGAAGCATGGATTTTGTTGCGTCCCTTCACACGGTGCTTTGTGGATTCTTGGCCATCTTTTGTTCTATTTTCTGCTTCTTAACAGAATCAGCCTTTTTAAGGGATATTAGAGCATTTTGTTCCACTTGTACTAATGTGTATTAGCACAAATGCAAATTGGTGCAAATCCCCTCCCTAAGGTACACACATATACACAAAAGTCTGCAGGTTAGCGCTACATGGGAACAGGTGGTTTGTCACAGAATGTTGCATAATCTGCAGATCAGATTAATAGAAATTGGAACTCATTTTAATAAGGTCCCTCTAAAATCCATATAAGGTCCATTTAAGACACATACATTTAAACAGCCAAATATGGACATGATCTTCTGATCATAGAGCCTGAAGCACAGCAGCTGGACAATAGCCTAAGGTCTGTAAACAAGTGTGTCATTCTTTAGACACTAATGTGTATTACCACACTACCTTCCAAGTGTGGTAAGGCTGCCCTGCTGTATTTGAAGACCCATGGTCCCATTCTGTTGAGTTGGGCCTTGGATATCTGCTCTAATGCCCTGACCTGTTGCAGGACGAACTGTCAGCTCCTGTGTCAGTGGTGCTTCTTATCCTTTTCAGCTTTTATTTTGAGCTTTATAAGAGGTGCACCTGATTTTGGTGACCGGAGTTCAGCACCATGGATGGCTCCCATAAGACTTGAAATAAAAGCTGCAAAACGGATGGGCAGTGCAATTTAGAGTCAGTGGAGTTCTTTATCCTTTGTTGATGGCATCGTTGACCACCTGAGAGCCTTGGATGCTGCCTCTTGGAGGCCTCCTTGAGCAACCAGCTAGAATGCATTGTGTGGCTTATTTGTGTTCTTTCTCCTTAATGGATCTTTTAGTGGTAAGAAAGCAAAAGATGGAAGAAGAGGTGTGGAAACGTGGGAGGGTCGTGAGCGGAAGACAGTGTCATCTGGTACCCCTGCATTATTCTATGAAAGAGGCAGGACCATCGTACAAAAAATGCCTCACCTGGAAGCCCACCTTGAACTTCAAGTAATCTATTTTTGTGGGAGTTATACTATGAACTAAGTTGCTTTCCAGTCAGTCTTGTCTGTGATGTCCAGACACCCAGAATAGCCCACTATGAAGTGGAGGGCTGGTGGCCTCCATATTAGCGGTGTGGTGTATCCATTCTGGGGTTTAGCCTGAATTTTAAGGAGGCACCTGGAGTGCTGAAACAAGTTCAGCACCTTGGATAGCCTTCATAAAATTCAGAGTCCCTCCACTGTCCTTGGAGTCAGGGCTGCTTTTATGTCTGGTGGCAACTTCCCCTGGGAAAGTTCAGAATTCTTAGCGGTTGACTCCAATTACGCTAAATTCTTAGCAGTCTGCTCGAAATTCAGAGCCACAGGGCGATCCTATGCAGATGGCAGGAGTGCAAGGCAAGGTCTGCCTCCTCAGATTCTGAGGCAGTACTTGGGAAGAAAGTTTTTCTTTTCCCCGCTGCAGCTGTGCAGGCTAACCCTGAGTAAGCTTACTCAGAAGTGAATCCTATTGTATTGCAATCATCTCAGGGCCAAAACAAGCATTCGTTTAAATCAGCATCCCGTGCGCTCCTACTCGGGAGTAAACGCTATTGAATTCATTGGGATTTACTTCTGATTAGATCTGCATAGGTTGATCCTGTAAATCTATCTCTAGCAGTTTCGTCTAGTTTCCAATTTTACTCTAGAGTAGAGAAGATCAAAGTAGGCGCCTCACCAGGGTCTTCATCTGGATCGGACCCTTACTCTAGAGCAAAGAAGGAAAAAGACGACGTAGCCGCCAGACCCATATTTAAAATAACAGCTAATTTACTCTCAACTATGTAGGCCTATGAACTCGCAGTCTTTTAAAACTATACGATCAAATTCTTTCCCTCTCTCCACTTCCCCTGCATCTCCCCTTCAACTGTGAAAGGAGAGACTCCCGCTTTACTTTTCTCCGACGGAAAAGTGGCTGTTAGCAGCGAGCAAAATACTTGCAAGCTGCTTGTGCAAAGTGCGGAAAACTGGCTGCGGGAGGCTCTCGCCGGTGAGCCCGAGCCAGCGCAAAGGGAGCGGCCAACCCCACCGGGCACGTCTGTTCCGCGGGGGACCTTTCCCGTGCACCATTTTCCATTGCCGGGAGAGACGCGATCGCTCGCCTGAACCAGCTCAGTCTCAGCGGCAAGAGACCCGCGGCGCTCTGCTCCCGCTCCCGCCCCCGCGGGCTTGCCCGCTTTCCTCGTCAAGTCAGGCGCCTCGAACTTACCCGTCGGGGTTGCATCCTTTCCTCACCTTGTTTTGCTCGGCGTCGGACCAGTCCGCCCAATAGTTTAGCTCGTCGGGCTCTCCCAGCTCCTCCGCGAACACCTGCGCCGACACCAGGAACAGCACGGCCAAAAGCGCCAGCAATTTCATCCTCGCCTGTTTCCCCCCGTCGAAGGCGCAGCCTGGCAGCCGGCGAGCCCTTGCGGAACAGCCGAGGGCGAGGAAGAGGAGGAGGCGAAGGGCTGGCGAAGCCGCGCGGGAAGCACCTTCCGGGGAAGCCGCCGCGTCCCTTTCGCGTTCTCCCACTGCTCAAAAGTTCTCAGAGGCTGTAGAGAGAGGAGAGAAAGAGAGGGAAAGAGAGAAGTACCTGTTAAGTCTCTCGCTCATCTCAGCGAGGAGAAGACCAAAGAAAGCAGGGCTGGACGATCCTCGTTGCTTCCTCCTCCTTCTCCCACCCCCAGGTCTTTCCCCATTTGATCCCCCCACCCTCGAAGCTGGGGCAGATGCTGACACCAAATCAAAGCAGCCAGGCGGTGCTGAGCGCCGAGAGAGCACTTACTGCAGTGGGGAAGGCGGCTGTGAATGAAGGCACCCCAAGGAAGCTTCACTTTATATTCCTCCAGGCTGGGAGGTCCAAAGAGCTTCATCTGCCTCCCTCTAATTGCTCTCTTGTATTTATCATGAAGGTCACATGACACGCTTCCCCCTCCCTGCCCCGCACCTCAAAGCATGATCAGGCGTGATCAATATTTGGTTTCCCTTCCGAGTTCCCCTCTCTCCCATGCAGGATTTCTTTGGAGGGGTTCCCCACCCCCCCACCCCTGGGAGGTGGTGGCCCCCCACCCCTTTTTTCTCTATGTGGCTTTTCTTACGATGCAATCAGGGACAAGCCTACGCATAATGCCCATCTCCGCCCAGCAAATAGCTCCTCCCAACCTCTTAGAGATAGTTGGTGGAGTGTTCCACTGCCCCTGGAGACCAAAGATGAATCATGAGAGCAGATCTGGTGACTCATCTAGGGTGATTTTGGATGCAGTGGGCCTGGTTTGGCTTGAAGAGGGCCCCAAGGTCTGGCTTCAAAGAGTGGAAACCTTTTTTGTTCGTTTTGTTTTGTTTCAGTATAAAGCCCCAAATGATCTCCTGATCCTCAGGATTTTAAAAACGTTACTAATGGAAGAGACGTTGACTGTGCTAATGGCTGCACAAACTGTGTGCAGTTTGTCCTATAAAATGCTTGTGTTGTAGACAGTGCAGATTCAAATAAACTGATTGACTGACTGCATGTTTTTCCATGGCCTTCTCCATCATTTATAATATTCTCTGTACAGTTACTACATACCATGGCTGTGGGCAAAGGTGTGGAAGGAATGATAATAGATGGAAGATGGAAGGAAGGCTAATATCCCAGTCTCTCTCTCTTTTCCCTGCTCCCAAACTTGGGAGCCTGGGCTCAGAGAGATAAGAAGGCAACATAAACCTACCAGCAGCCCCATAGCCTGCTGGTACAAAAGGAAAGGAAGCCATACCCTGCGATGCTAGGCCACTGCTAGTCATACACAAAGAAGGATTTGGGAAGAATAGAAATAAATCTAACTTTTGAAATATGTCTGTAATTAGAAATGGGTGAATTCTTTAAGGAAATCATTGTCCCACCTTGGGAAGGGTCGTGGTTCAGTTGCAGAGCAGCTGTCTTGCTGGTAAAAGGATCCTGGTTCAATTCCTAGCATCTCCAGGTAAGGCTAAGAAAGACCGGTCAGTGCTGACAATGATTGATAGACTTATGATCTGACTAGGTATAAGGCAACATTCTATTTTCCTAAGCATAACCCGGTTACATGAAAGAGTATTTGCATTCCATATTTTTTGTCCCCTCAGCTCTGAGGGATCAGATCTTAAGAGTCTACGTTCAGTTGGGTTATGAATGTAGCAAATTTTTAAGTGCTCTGTTAGAAACTGGGGGATGGAGCAGCGGAATGAATCCCTTTAGTGCAGTTGTAGAATATTAGGATAGGATTTTGGCAGTTTAGCAGGAAGAGTGGGAAAGCCTCCATCTAAAGAGGGATCTCCTGCATAAAGCTATTAAGTCTGGAGTTTGAAATTATTTTGCAGCGCCCTTTGATATTGGTATACTCCCACAGATCCTGTTTATTATTCCTTGTTATTGTCTGTTTCTAGCTTTTAAAACTATTTAATATCTTTTTTCTAATTTTATGGTATTTTATTGTAATTTTATCACCTGCTTTTATAGACTGTAAACTGCCCAGAGAGCTTCAGCTGTGGGGTGGTATAGGAATAAATATATAAATAAAACCCTCCAAGCATTGTTGAGCCAGGATGGCTCACTGGGAAACACTGGGAGTTGTATGACTTTTTTTTTTTTTTTTTTTTTTACTAAAGATGCACAGGATTGTGACCTAAGCCACTCAATACCGCATGTCAGCTTCAAAGCCGCTGAAGCAGCAGCAGGGGAAAGTACATTGAGTTGCAATAATTCAGGATTTGGACTTATCAGTAGCATCCAACCAGCCCAAGTTTTCTCCCACACAAAAGCAATCATGTGAAATTTCCTTCTCTTCACATTTTGGCTTGCTCAAGAGCCACCCAACTGCCGCTGTCTCCACTTCCTTGCCCTGGAAACTGCACATAACAGGGCAAGGATTTTAACTCCTTCCATTCCTGATGTCTCTCCGAGTAGTCCTGTAACTGTTCCCCCCTCCTCCTGCCTTCATTGTCCCCTCTTCCCTGGGGAATGCAGCCAGCTTTTCCATGCCTCTTCTATGTCTGCCTATTTGTCAAATTTCTGTGCAGGTCCAGGGATGAGGACAGCTTGCTACTTTTCATTCTATGCTCACATGGCCAGCAAGGTCTTTGTGACTTTTCAGCCTTTTCTGCAGGAGACCTCATGTGCTTGGCATTCCCTGCTTACAGTTGTTTACAGGCCATGACACTGTAGTTTAACCTCCGTGACTAACAAGCACTTTCTGCAAGGGCTTTTGTTTTTGCTTTTAATAGGAAGATCCAGCATGTCATTGCAAAAGCAAAAGAAAGTTAAATTTCCTCTCATGGATTTGTATTATTGTGCTAAACCACAATGCCAGCTACTGGTTATGTCCCTGAAAAGCAGGAAAGGAAACACACCTGTGTAGTGTTTGGATCTCAGTTCTGCACTGAAACCAAAACTAGATGCAGCCAATTAACAGCTTGGTGTGGAAAAGCTCTTCCTCTCTGTTGTGACTTGCTCACTCTCCATCCTGGGTCTCAAGAAGCAGGACGGGTACAAATTAACAACAGGATCCTGAAAGCATTGACCTATTCAGTCTACAAGGACCGGCATCTGGGATATAAATGTAATTGAGAGAGGGGGAAAGGGCAGAGAGAGCCTTTGTCCCATAAACAGCTCTGCTATGAATGCCAAGTCTGGCTTTTCAGATGGAAAGACTTCTTCTGAGCTTTTCCCAAGCTGGAATTAAACCTTATTTTCGAGACTACTATATAAAACTAAAGCAGAATATTGGGTATATGATAACATGTGTCTCTAAAGTCAGTCTTTTACCATTTTCATTGTAGTTGGCTTAACAAGGAAAATAGCACTCAATCAACACAAGAACATTTGTGAACCACCATCATAATTATCAATCATCATTTGTATTGTTAAGAAATCTCAGTCTCCTTCCATTTCATTGTAACTTTGCTTTTCAGGTCTTCCAAGAGACTTTCCACCCAGCTTTTCCCAATATGGTACTTTCCAGTATTCCCACCATCTGGGAATAATGGCCAATGTAGTGTAACTCATCTGGAGACCATCAGGTTGGGAAAGACAATGTACTATGGCTTATCAAACAAGATAGCAAAACTCTTATTGGGTGCTTTTTTGGTAAAATTAATGTCTGGGTTTACTAGCATTCAAATTATTATGCCAAGTTGTTGGTAAACTGTGATTGTCATTGAGCAGGTACAGCTTGCTACTGTTAGCTGACCCGTGTGTACTGTGCGAAGATTCTTCCCAGCAGATATTAAAATACAGGCGGACTGATAAATGAAGACTATTTGATACATATAAATGAGAGAGCTGGATTAATGGCAGTAAATTTCTTTTATCTGGGTCTCTTGGATAAAGGACCCAGATAAAATAGGGACACAGTAGCTTGGTGCATTTATCACTGGCTGTTTTATTACCCCAGTGTTCATATTTTTTGTGTTATGTGTGTATCCATTCAGGTGTTAACACTTTTTCTTATGGATGCTTTTTTCTTCAGCGTGATTAAAGCTGTTATTTCAGATTTTGTGTTTGTAGTGGGCCTTACCCAGAACCATCTAATATTCAGTCCCCACTCTAGCTAATGGATACATGAAACTTAGAACATTTTAAGCCTGGCCTTTCTTTTCCTATCGGACTGCATCCTATTGGCTCTAGCCAGAATAGTAATGGTGAGCGATAATGGGAGCTGTAGTCTGACAACCTTTGAAAGCCCACAGGTTGCCTACCTAGATGGTAATAGCAAAGTCTAACTCAGAATGGAATGTCTGAATTAGGAAATACAGTGACTAGGTTGCATCCAACTTAAGTTACATTCATTTCAGGGGGTTTTATGCTATGAAGGACTAAGATTGTTTACAGTCCTTTGGCGTGTTGTCAGGGGATCTGAAATTTGTGTGAAGTTTTTGATTTGTGACAATTTTTCTCAACACACACAATCCATATCTTGAGGTTCCAGTCATGCGCAGAGTTACTCTCAGTGAGACAGTCTTGTGTGCGTGCAGTGGGGGCTGGTGTCCTTTGGGACCGGTGGGGCTGAGGGCAAGGTTAGGGTTAGGGTGCCAAGTAGCGGCAGGCAGAGTGGCAGAGTTATCCACAGCAACAGCCCCTTGTACAGAAAGGGAGCGAAAGGAAGCAAACTTTGAGATCACGCTGGCAAAGGAGAGGATTGGCAGAGTGGGAGAGTTACACAAGGCAGAAGCTCCCCCTTGGACCCACATTTTCTATTATAGCAGCAGCTCCCACTGCACACAGAGCAGAAAACAGTAACTTCAGGAGTGTTAGATCAAAGCAGGGAGGATAATCTCCCTTTTGCACACATGTACGCACTCACATGCTATGTTACACTCTCATTTACTTTCTTACTTTCCCTGTCTTCCATTAAGTACATGGG